CTGGGCCGCCCTCCCCCCCCGTTCGTAACTAGGGGTCCGACTTAAGTCGGATTGACATAACCCGGGGACTGCCTGTATTGTAATGATTGCTGTCTTGAGAACTGGAAAAACATTCCCCTGTAAGTTCAATCAGAAAACTCAACAGGTGAAAAAAGATCTCAACACATTTGGCACTCAGGCCTAAATACTGAATGGCCAGACTGGGCCGCCCTCCCCCCCCGTTCGTAACTAGGGGTCCGACTTAAGTCGGATTGACATAACCCGGGGACTGCCTGTATTGTAATGATTGCTGTCTTGAGAACTGGAAAAACATTCCCCTGTAAGTTCAATCAGAAAACTCAACAGGTGAAAAAAGATCTCAACACATTTGGCACTCAGGCCTAAATACTGAATGGCCAGAATGTTTGGTTGACAAACTAGTAAAAATACTTTGGGGGCAATTAAAGTTTTCAATCGGTAGTCAAAAAATTGTTGTCTAATAGACAAAACATTAATGTCTAAGCATAGAAACTGATTTATAGCGAGTGCATAAGTAGTGTACTAGCTACAGAGTAAAAGAAACCCGAGGATCAGGGGAAGGATAATCAAGTAAGTTTTTTTTTTCTTTTAAATGTCCACACATGGACTTACAGTCATTAAATGTCTATTAAGTTTCTAAAGCCATGGTTTTTAAACTCACCTGTGTTCCAGGAGGTACAGTGCCTATTTAAAAAAAAAAAAAAAAAAGTGTAGAATGAGAAACCCAATGCTGCAGAAAACACTTCTAAAATATATTTTTTCCTCTCTGATCTTTTATAAGTTAAAAAGTTACTTATTGTAAATAAAAGATTGGCTAAAAACTAAATGAAAGATTATACATGAATAACTCCAGAACAAGATTATTAGGATAAATTAACCCTTGAAATGAGTATGCACCCCGGGGCATCCAATCACAGCTCATAGGCAAGAGTGTCTGTCAGGCTACACATCATGTTGCAGCACCACTTGTTTGGACTTATAATGAGCAATAATCCACAAACACAATTTACTTTTCTTTATGCAGGCCCCACTTCAGGAAAACTACTCTATTCATGGCACCAGGTAAGCATGTGCTTAATTTCCGTTTAAGTCACTGGAAAAACTTAAACAACAAATAGTCTTGCAGCACCATAGGCAGTGTCTAGATTACATCCCTCTTTGGACAGAGGGATGTAAATTAGACACTTCAAAATTGCAAATGAAGCAGGGATTTAAATATCCCATGCTTCATTTCATAATAGTGTAATTGCGCTCTTTTGAAAAAGCGCCATTTCAAAAGTAAAACTGTGGTCTAGACGCAATTCTGTCGAAAACGGCTGCATAGAAGCTGCAAACAAAAAGGGCTGCGGGCCACATGTTGAGTAGCCCTGTGCTAGACTATTCATTGTTTTTAAGCTTTTCCAGTTACAGACTAACTTAGCTACCCCTCTGAAGCTTTTGAACAATATTGTAAGCCCTTTCAAAATTTTACCATTTGAATGATGGCTTGAGATATGATGTTATGATGTGTTTTCTGGGTGAAGTGATAGTCACCAAGATAGAAGCACTTTCCAGTGCAGTCTTTCACCAATGGTGCAATTAAACTGCATGTTGGGGCCTTCCATCAATTATTTTGACAAATATCACATATAGTTAATATTCACTTCATCCTTAACATTATTTCTCTCAAAGCAGAGGACTGGACTAGACGACCCTCTGAAACTCGTTCTTGTACTACATTCAAAAGAGCAAGCCTATACTAAACGGGAAGGTTGACTTAAGACATGCAACTCCAGCTATTTAAATAAAGTAGCTAGAGCTGGGGTGGCCAACCCGTTCCAGACGAAGAGCCACAACAGCAGTGGAGACAGCGTGAAGAGCCAGGGGCAAAGTTGTTAACAAAAAACAAACAAACAAAAAAGAGGAGGGAGTGAGGGATGACAACTGCCCATAGGAATGTAAAAGGCAGTTTTAAAAATGACGGTGAATAAATTTCTTTTTTTAAACACTGAGGACAGGTCAAGAAATGAGCTTACATTGCAGGAAGGGAGATTTAAGTTAAACATCAGGAAAAAAAATTCCTGTCTGGTAAGGTAGTTAAAAAATGGAACAAATTACCTAGGGAGGATATGGAATCTCCCTCATTGTACGTTTCCAATGCATGGTTACACAAACACTTGTCAGGAATGATTCCCAAAATACTTAGTCCAGCCTCAGAGCAGAGGACTGGACTAGACGACCCTCTGAAACTCGTTCTTGTATTACATTCCAAAGAGCAAGCCTATACTAAACGGGAAGGTTGACTTAAGACATGCAACTCCAGCTATTTAAATAAAGTAGCTAGAGCCAGGGTGGCCAACCCGTTCCAGACGAAGAGCCACAACAGCAGTGGAGACAGCGTGAAGAGCCAGGGGCAAAGTTGTTAACAAAAAACAAACAAACAAAAAAGAGAGAGAGCTGGGGGAAAACAGGTGCTGGTACATCCGTTCCAGGGCACGGCTTTTTTTGTTTGTTTGTTAACTTTTCCGGAGGTCTCCGCAGCCCTGTTGCTTTTTTTTTTGGTGCTCAACAACTTTGCCCCGGCTCTTCACAGTCTCCACTGCTATTGTGGCTCACAAAAAAAGCACTGGGAAGGGGTGAGGTATGCAAGCTCTGGGAGGGAAGTTGCGTACAAGAGGAAGTAGAGAAGAGGATGCTGGCTCAGGGAGGGGGCTCCAGGCTGGAGAGTGTTGGAGTCAGAGGGAGGGTTTGGGGTGCTGAGCAAGCTGCAGGCTTGTGGCTGTGAGGGTGCAGGAGTTTGGGCTGGGGTGCATGAGGAGCTCAGAGCAGGGAGGCTGGGAGTATGACTGGCTCAGGACACTGATTTACAGAGTATGGATGGCGCAGGAGTGTTGTGACAGAGGACTGGAGATGTGGGGGTGCAGGAACTTGGGGATGTGAGAGGCTTAGGACAGGGGATTCCAGTGTAGGATAGGCTCTGGTTTGGAGTCTGGGGGGAGGGGCGCAGGAGTGTTACGGTGCTGCGCCAGATGGGGGCTTGGCCCCAATTGGGGGCTTGTTGGCCAGGCTTCATTTTTAAGTAAAATATTATGTCTAACAAAATTTTTCAGCGTTGTCTTTATTTAGGAGAGGGGCAGAGAACCTGTTTTAAGTCAGGAGTCACTGACCCACAGAAAAGTCAGTCAGGGCCACACAAGTGAGATGCAAA